ATAATTTGTTAAAATAAATACAGTAAACCCCCACTAATTCAGACTAATATAGTATGAAGATTGTCTAACTTGAAAGTTAACATGGTGATTTTTCTGATGAATATGGATATACTACACAATCATTATACTACTGAATTTATTATTACAAGAAATTAGCTCAAAAAAATTTTATGATAGTACAGTATACAACAATGTATAATCTTTCGTTACATTACTTACTGACTACAGTGATATAATGCACAGTATTGCAAATATATCAAAAACACTTATTAATTACAATTTTTCAATTGCCAAAAAAATTTTAAATTACTGTTTCAAAAAATTTGAGTTAGCAGAGGTTTACTATATTTAAGTTTTTAATCATACCTACTCAAAATCAAATAGCTGTATTAATTTTATGTTTTGACCTATAAAATGTTTTTGAATTTATTTCATTTCAAATTGATGAGAAAGAATTATAAAATGCAAAACTCTGAATATGTGAATGTTTTATAAATTCTTTATAACAGGAAAGATTTAACAGTAATTCTAAATTATCTGTTGAATACGTTAAAAACAGTGTATTACTTTCAACATGTTATTTCATTTATTGCCTTGTTTCTCAATATCATTTTGATCAGGAGTTTCCAACTTTTCTTGATATTTGATCCCTTTCCAAACATAGATTTAATTCACTGATCTCTTATACTGATACAAAAAAAAATTAATTAAAACAGGATGAAATAAAAAAATTCAAGATGATTTTTATGCTTAATAAGCATTATTAATTTTCACTAAACATGAATCAAAATTCAAAATTGTGTTTTGCTTTATTTGAATTTAGATATATTAATTATTATATAATTGGAGAAATTTACTTATATTAAAATATAAGTAAATTTGTCCAATATTCTCCAAATATTTATTAGTGATTTGTAGGCTCTCTCAATTGACCTATCAGGGTTAATAGAGACCAGGATAGAAACTCCTGACTTAAATGAACTACATTAGCACAAAGTTTAATATATAAATTATGTTATATTCTTACCTGGAAGTTTGAAAGATGTCCCAGCTAGAACGTTCTGCGTGTTTTGGAAATTTGTTGAAGATACATTTGATTCATTAGGGCTCTAAAAAAGTGTAAATAATAAATATTTTATTTACATATATTTTATATTTTATATAAAATTGAACAAATGTAATATATTTAATTAATAATAATTTTATATTAAAAGCATGTAAAGTACTACAATTATTAATACTGTATATTGTTAATATGTGATTAACATGTACAAAACATGTTTGATTAAAGAAATCAGGAACTGATAATTAAACTTAATTAAAGTTTGCTAATTCAAATATTAATGTGAAATACTTTTAATAGTTAAACAAATTCATGTGTGTGATTCTATCATATCAACATAAACAAATATTGAAGAACAAAACTGATTCCATTTCTATGAATATTTATGATAATATAAATTAAACATAATCATTAATAAAACATTAATGTCTGCTTCTAACAGAAAATTATTAAAAATGATGTTGATTATTTTGGTAAAGAAGCAAAACTGAAAGACTTTTTAATCAAAGTATAAAACAATTGCTACAGTCAAAAGTTTAAACAATTTGATATACCTAAACTGAAGTATCTGGCATTCTGTAAGGCCTACATCATCGCGAATCTTGTATATAACACAAAAGTTTATATTAAAAATGAAAATATGATAAATATATACAGTATAATCTCTGAACAGTAGACACCATTAGGACCAAGAGGTTTGTCCACTATTCAGAGGTACTGGTACATGCTGGTGACCATATTGTATTTTAAGCCTGTCATTATAAAGTGATGAATATAATTATAAAGACATCAAATTTTCATTAGGAATGTGAATATACAAAAAAATATGCATAGCATATATAATTAAAATGTATATACAATATATTATTTATTTTTTCAGCTGTAAAAATCTTGTTTTAATTGAATCTTGTTCAAATGTCATATTATGAAGGCAATTTGCTATCCACTTCAGGAGGGGAAATATATTTGAAATTGTCTCATGTATTTAATCGTTCCTACAACGTAATTTTCGGTTAGCGTGGAACGTATCTAANTATTTACTTTACCAGACGATAGTCACTTCGCGCATGCTCAGTTTCGCTATTTTGTAAGCAGACGATATTTTTATTCATGAAAAAAATGTTTATTTCGATTGTTATCTTACATTTTATTTCTTGATAAGATAGTATTTAAAATTAAAAAATGTTTTCATAAATAAAATGAAACGTAAAAACATTACTTTATGGTTTGAATTTGTTGGTAATACTGAACACCAGGAGAGTTGGGTTCTATATTAAAAGCACCAATGGGATCCATATTTCACGCATCTCCATCTTGGGTTACCCCGCGTTTCTTTATGCAGCGCTCGAGAAGCGCTTTACAGCGAACAGACTGAAACTGGTTTCTAATTGGCCAACACTGCTCGTGACGTCATTTCGCTACACTCTCGCTGCATAAAGAAACGCGGGGTACGTTTTCTTCACATTTGTAACTCCTAAATAGATTCATTTCCCTTCGTAAGTCCCCAGGAGGCATTCCCCTCGGCAGATCGCCCACGTGTCGCGTTGCCGTAATGAAAATACTGTAAACGAAACCAAATCAAGAATGGATCTCGAGATCAATTAGGATTACCACAACAAAATTACAAAAAAAATGCGAACACCTAAGAAATTTTGATAAAAATGTAATATAAATATTTAATCTTTACTAATTTTATGTTATAAATAAAACAAAAAAGAGAAGTCCTGCTTTTGTTTTTATCTTTTTTACAACTACAGAAATCCGCCCAGTTTTACGTTGAAAAGAAGCCATGTCTGGGAAACAGAGAAGGTATGGTAACCGTAGAGCAACAGAAAATAAAGAAAAATAGTAATCTGCAGTAACCGAGAAAGACCAAGTATAAACATTATACTGTAATTAACAATTAGGTTACAAGTTGAACTTGTAACCTAATTGTTAATTATTTTTAAATTTATTTTTTTTTTTGAATTGGCAACATAGCTGAAAATTGGCCGTAACATGATAATTTGCCAAATGCCCGCCAAATATTTATTTTGGCTGTTAGTGTATGAGTTAGTACATTTTTGTTTTGTTTAAATTTGTGCAAGTCGTCGCAAAAGTTCACAACTTAACTCACATCCAATTGTCCAATAATGAGCACGACCATCTTCGTCAAAAGTAAGGACATTGTTTAGCAGAGTTCTGTGGGATATACTAAAACAGCAGCCACATTCACTTGACACCAGTTCATGCAACTTTGACCTTTTTCCGGAAAAAAAAAGAATTTAAAGGCAAGCGCTTCGAGACATCTTTCTGTCTTTCTGTCTCATGTCTTTCTGTCAGCTTTCTGTCTCATGGCGGTCTCTTCAGATACTGGCTGAAAGTGACACGTTTCTCAGAAGTTTGGCAACGGGTTGCTCACGAAAGTGGAGATTACATCGAAAGACTGATTACTAAATGTTTATTTTATTTTAAAATTATTAAGTTACAACAACATTGTCACTGCATATAAAATGCACAGGTATTACTTTTGTCCGTTGTAAAACTTAACCAAAAAAAAGTAGAATAAAAAGAATTGGGATTTTTGAAAAGTGGCATATATGTGGGTATTAAAAAATGACTTGAATGAAAAATGAAGTTGTCCTCAGAAATAATACTCTTAAAATTAATATATATGTATCTCATATCACAATTAATCATAAATTGAAAGATAAATGAAAGACAGAAGTGGGGAAGCAAAAAACTTTACTACCTAGACATTAAATAATGGATTTGAGGAAAAACTGAGAATGGATCTTAATTTCAGTAATTATATAACCGATGTTTGTTTATCATCGATCTCAATTTATGATAGCACAAGAAAGAGCAAACATATTATTTTCTATACAGATAGAAAGAATATCGACCTGTATACATAAATAACTAAAAATGATATAAGTGAGTTATTTCAAGTATTTATTATTGAGCTGCAGTTTAAAAAGAATTATAGATCTGTAAATTGTCACGTCGACCGCGTGTCTGTCTGCCTGTCCTCCCTTAATCTCAAGAATGATGTTAGATAGATTTAAATGGAGACC